ATTATTATTTTTCTTTGTTTCTTCTTGGCATATTTTAATTTGTGTGGCACCAAAAAAATAATTATTCAATGGTAGGAAAAGAGGAAAAAAAGAATTAACTTTGGTTATATTAATGAAATCAGATATTTGCTTTTCTTTTAATTGGTCAACTTTTAAGTGATTTTCCTTTTTAAACTTAAGCTTTAAATATTAAATGACCATCCTTAGAATTAGACTATCTATATTTTATTTAATTTTAAAATATTTACTGTAATATTGAACCAACATAAAGAAAAATAGTAGACTAAGAAGGGAAAAACAATAAATGACTAGCCATCTTTTTTATCCACAATTAAATATTTTTGATTTTTTAGAACCCATATCTTGACTAAATATATATGATATTTATTTTCATTGACTTGGGAGAATTTTATATTGAATAATCAAGTACTAGAGGTAACTTGAAATTTTAGATACAATTTTCATTTACTAATTAATTTTTGATATTTTATGTTGAATTAACACAAATTTTCTAAATTTTTCTAATCAATCATCCAGAAATTATACATACATCTACCTATCGAAAAATAAATCTAATTTCATCAAAAATGACGAGGCATGTTTGTTTTTGCTTGGTTCTGGTAAGTTTTCTAATACGAATTTTGTTATGTAGATATAAAATTTGTTAGTCGATAATTTGTCTGACTAGTATTTTGCTTGAATATTTATGTATCAAATGCAGTCATTGACAATGCTATTGGTACCTGCTGTATTGATACCACTTTGGGTCAAGAAAGTCAAAAGTATTGAAAGTGAGATTAAGGTACTGTCTCACATCTGTTTTATTTTTATTTTTATGCTGTCAATTCATAGAATTTAAATTCAATTTATTTTCACATACATATAGATGCATATTTTTACATGTTGTTTCAGAGATAATTGATGTATCAAATATATAATTATACTGGTATGAATCCCACACACCTCGAATTTACTTTAATTGACATAGATATTGAAAAATGTAATAGTTGATTCCAATTAATTTGTGATTTGAGACATAATTATTAGTCCTGCTTTGAAAATTATTGTCTAGATAGCAACACCATTCCATTTTAATCAATAATACTACCCCGTCAAAAATACTTAATCATCCTTACTTATGAGTGAATATTTTAGCATTTTCCCCTATTGTTACAAACATACGATTCATTAGGGCATAATAAAGAGAAGAGTATATACTTGTAAGGAACTTTTACATTATCACTAGATTTTAACCTATTGTATTAGATATGATCGATGCACGTATACTTGAAAATGAACTAATGTCCTGCTTTGAAAGTTATTGTCTAGATAGCAACATCATTCCATTTTAACCAAAAATACTACCCCGTCAAAGATACCTAATCATCCTTACTCATGAGTGAATATTTTAGCCTTTTCCCCTATTTTGTTACAAACATACGATTCATTAGGGTATAATAAAGAGAAGAGTATATACTTGTAAGGAATTTTTACATTATCACTAGATTTTAACCTATTGTATTGCATACGATCAATGCACGTATACTTGAAAATGAACTGATGTCCTGCTTTGAAAACTATTGTCTAGATAGCAACACCATTCCATTTTAATCAAAAATACTGCCCCGTCAAAAATACCTAATCATCCTTACATATGAGTGAATATTTTAGCCTTTTCCCCTATTGTTACAAACATACGATTCATTAGGGTATAATAAAGAGAAGAGTATATACTTGTAAGGAACTTTTACATTATCACTAGATTTTAACCTATTGTATTAGATATGATCGATGCATGTATACTTGAAAATGAACTACCTGCTTTGAAAACTATTGTCTAGATAGCGACACCATTCCATTTTAATCAAAAATACTGCCCCGTCAAAAATACCTAATCATCCTTACATATGAGTGAATATTTTAGCCTTTTCCCCTATTGTTACAAACATACGATTCATTAGGGTATAATAAAGAGAAGAGTATATACTTGTAAGGAACTTTTACATTATCACTAGATTTTAACCTATTGTATTAGATATGATCGATGCATGTATACTTGAAAATGAACTACCTGCTTTGAAAACTATTGTCTAGATAGCGACACCATTCCATTTTAATCAAAAATCTTCACCGTTAAAGATACCTAATCATCCTTACTTGTGAGTAAATATTTTAGCCTTTTCCCCTATTGTTACAAACATACGATTCATGGGGAGATAAACAAAATAGAGCAAACCTAGTACTTGTGTTTCATGATTACCCTTTCAAGGAACGATAAAATTGACATTATATATATAACATATTTAAATAGATCCATAGCTAGTTGACATACTAGCTATCTTACATCATAGAAAAAAAACTACATCAAAACTCACTAGTCAGTCTATCGAAAGGTCTATTAAAAGGGACAAACTAGTTAGTCAATTAGGTAGGAGTCCTTCAAGTCTTAAAAATTGTGTAGAAGTGACAAATAGTATTAATTAGGTTAAAAGATATTTTCTCAATAGTACCAAACTTTTAACTTTTACATTTTAGTCTAACAACTGTCGTAGTTGTGGGGACAACTTCTTTAGTCGTCCGACAACTTTAGTAGTTGTCCGAAAAGATGTAAGTATTTTAGTCCTTTTATCAATATTAAAAATAAAAAAATAGAGAAAAAGTAAAGGGCCCACTTGTCCTTTTTTTAAAATTGGAAACCTATAAGACACTTTTAGCTCATTTTTCCCCGTCCTATCTCTTAAGGCAACAAATCTCTAACTAGAATAACAAGTTGCTTAGAAACTATGCTCTAAACTACACATATATTATATCTCTATGTGTTGTTCCCATGTTTGTGGCATGGACAACTATAATAGGATTCTACTCCACAATAGATGATTTCGGATGATCCAGCATGCCTGAGAGGGAATATACTAAGTGTACTCGTTGTTCAAGAATCTTTTAGGTGACCTGATAACGTACTGAATTCATTTTCAGGTATATGTATCAAACCAAGAAGAAATTGCTCTGCTAAGCGAGTTGCACAAAGCCATTGAATTTGGCTTCATATTAACCATCACACTGATGGTTTCTTTGGCAATCTCCGTTGTAATTTATGTTAGGCTATCCATAAGACGCGAAAAAAGAGAAATGTCTTTGTCTACTGAACTTGTCAATGAAGCAGCTCGACAACTGAATGAACGAACAATCCATGAGTTACCAGAGTTCGATGTTTACCACCCGAGACAGAGGGATGTTGAATTACATTCTACTGAGAACTTACCTTTAAAAGGAAAGAAGATTCTGTTGATTGAGGACGATGCAACGTCAGTTACAATTTCTCATAGAGTGATTACTTCACTTGGTGCAGATACTTACATATGTAGAAATGCAAGAGACTCTGTTAATTATGTTAGCAGAATCCTCAGTGAACAATGCGATGTAGGGCCATCAACTCCTTCACCACCATTTGATTTTATTGTGATAGATTGTGAGGTAACATCACTACACTTTTGACCTCGTTTAACATGTTAGTATTACATTGTCAGTATATATAACTTACAATAATATCGTTTTTTTTTTTTGTGTGACAGAAGCTAAAGACAGGTGCATTTGCTGCAACAGTATGCATAAGGAAAGATCTGTCACATTATGGATTCAGAATTCCCATAATGGCGTTGACAGTTCATTCAAATATGGAAGTTATAGCTAAGATACAAGATGCAGAAATGGACTATTACTTACCAAAACCTCTGAAGCCTGATCTGCTATTGGAAGCCATTGACTATATGGAGTATAGGAAGCTTTTTAGGAGATTATAAAAAGTTTCTATTTTATCGAGTCGTTATGTGAGACATAGAAAGTAAAATTTCTCAGAAAACTCTTGTAGAGTGTCTGTTCTCATAGATTCTCTGTTCTTTCTGAAGTTATGTGTGTTGTTTTAATTCCTATGTAGACATTTTTGTGATGTGTTCTATATGAAATGCATACACCTTTGATATGTTTTGATGTTACTTAAATGCATTTGTCAGACCTTGGAGCAACGGTAAAGTTGAATACAGGTTGTGGGCTTCCTACATTACATCCCTTTTGGGTTCGGGCCTTCTGACAGACACATGATGCTTTGTGCACCGAGCAGCCCTTCTTCTTCTGTTTGTTGGCTTAATGCATCATCAACATGTGATACAAGCTTTGACAACTCTCTCTCTTAAGATTAATTATTTTTATTGCTTTCAAAGCTGCCAGTAGGAATTCATTTATAAGAAGGACAAATGGATTCTTGTGGCTCATGTTTCATATTTATAATCTTGACACTTCGACTTTTCTTCTAGGTACTTGCTACTATATACATGCCAACATATTGTGTAGGGGTGCAGCAACCGTAGCTAAAGAATGGTTAGTTAAACACCTTTTGCCGAAACATTATATTGTGAATATAACATATTACTTTTTATACAATTGTGAAATTCATGTCTTCACCATTGGGTGCTATAATATCAATTCAACATTACCTAATTCTAAGTCTACTGATGTAACAAAAAAAACATTTTTAGAAAAACACTCAAATAGAAACATATATTTATATTATCTCCTAAAGAGTAAAATTATTTGAACAAACTTTATACTATTTTTGATATTATATTGAATGAATAAATTACAATACACACTAGCCTTTTCATGTGCTTTCAACTGAACTTGTCGGCATTTTCAAATCTAGTACATAATGACAAGAGTTAATTGCATTATTACACTGTTTATTATTTAATTAATAATTTTGTTACGTTTTTGTACAATTAATCAGTAAATTTGGTGTATATGCTAATTAATCATTAAATACGACTCTCAAATTTTCTTCACTCATTGGGTAATAAAGAAAGCTTTAATGTGCATCATTTAGTTATTGAATAAAGTGTAATTTACCATATACATACTCTTGTGTGTAGAGAGATTTGACACAGAATATGATAAGTTTTAACTGTTGGAAGCTAAAAGTGAAGAAAATAAATACACGACATAAAATATTGAACTTATAACTAAAAGTTCATAGAATTTGTAAAGGTTCATATGTAGATAAAAGGTCTTTCCAATAAAGTCTAGTTATGACTACTCATGTTAATGGAAAATTGTTTTTTTTATAACAGAACAAAAATGATATTCAACTTTTGACCTCAGGCTCTTCCCACTTTTAGTAATATATGATTCGCAACTACATCAGAAGTGAGTTCCGAAACAAAAATATAAAGGGGGTATGACTTCATAAATGGTTGATACTGTTCTTGAGAAAATACGCCAATGGATCACTTTGCCCCTTTTTGCGTCCCTTGAGGTGCAAGTATCCTGTGGAATTAGTCGAGGTCACAGTTCCCAAGCAGGCCTAACCAGAGAGGTCACAGTTCATCATGGTCTTGTGGTTGCTCCCTATTCATCATCTCTAGTTTATCTTGTAGTTCCTATCACATATATTTCATCATAAGTAGACAATCTCATAGGAGTAAAGTATTTGTTACAAGGACTGTAGGGGGGAGCTAATATAGAGGTTCAGAAGAGAACCTTCAGTTTTTCTTCCAGACAGAGTGCTGGTGTAGACAAAAATGCTAAATATCTGCCATAACAAACTACCAAGTCAGATTAAAGTGTACAAGAATGAACTAACCACATAAAGCATGCAAAATTCTGTGTGCAAGGTAAATGCTTACTCGCAGCGGCTCGGTTCATCTATATCAGTTACCTCATTTTTCAAACCACACCTTAATTTTACCTGTACAAATTAAAAACAATTTAGAGAGCAAAAAGAGGAATATAAGAAGAATGCTGTAGATACAAAGACAATCACATTAGTTAGGTGTCCTCACCTTTACACTTCTATTTGGGCCATTCCAGCAATGGTCGCCGTTTGTAAATTGCATAGTTCTGTAGGAATCCTCAAATTTATCCCAGTTCCTTTGATGACACATGGGAGAAAGAAAAAAAAAGGTATAATGAGTTCTGAACTTACAACATTCAGGCAGAAAAATAAAGATCTAGAAGAGAAACTCAGCCCATAATTTTACATGTCAAACCTAGAACTATGTGAACTGAGAAATCCCCCCAAGGGACAGTGGCGACTGGCCCTTGGTTCTAAACTCAATTGATATTAGCCCCCCCACCCTAATTCACTTAAACACCAGGCTATTGTCCGTAGTAAGATTTGAACCCGTTCACATGCACCTAACCTACACATCAACAAGCACGTGTTGCACTCTTGCCACCAGACCAAAACCCCCTACCCTTATCCAAAAGTTTGAACTTGTGACGTGCAACTAATCTAACACATCATGCATTGTGCTTTACCACAAGACCAATGTCATAGAAATTGTGTTTCACTAGACCAGCTTTATGTATAAGCTGTCTCTTACATTACCTAATCAAATTGCAGAAACTCTATGATAGGTCTGCCATGAATATATTTTACTTAAGAGAGGAAAACAAAGTGCAGAAACTCTGAATAGTAGAAGTATATTTGCAGTACAAGTCATGCTTGCCTACTACTTCAGAGAAAATCAACTACAATTTACTGAGCAGAAGGACTCAGATAATGCAGATGCTTACGATGTTAAAGAACCTACCCCAAACGAGTTGTGCTGTAGCCCTCAACTTGGGTAGCTTCTTTGAAAGGGCAAATCTTGTATGTGTACCTTAAGTAAAAACATTTGTTAGTGTCTGTTAAAGAATTATAACTTAGTAAATATATTCCTAAAAAGTAAATCGTTAACTAAAACTTAGGTTAACAAGACAATGGAAGATTTATCACTTGTTCTCCTTGCTCTCGAAACATTGTCCATGGAATGAATAGAATTCCTTCTCCGGTCCTGCAATAGAACTAGTGGTTCAGAAATAAACATTGCAAAATCATTCACCTTCTTAGAGAAGGTAAGTCATAGAAGAATGCTAGTAAACACAAACACATGAATTTCTATACCAAAATCATGTTTCAACTTTTGCTTCAAGCTGGATAGCCTTGATTCAATTTTTGTCAACTTAGCACTTGCCTCATCGTACTCTTTGCGTATGCAATTAGCATCTATGGGAGCAAAAACAAAACAACATCCATCATTTTCCTTCTCATAAGAAATAAAGAGCAGAAAATTGGATGAAACCTCAGTTACTACCAGAAATGTTCACTGGAGTTTGGAACAAATTGACAGACCGAAAAATTCTCTTTACAGTTTGTTGTATCTTCTCCGTCCAGGAAGGACTAGTTGTGGTGGTAGTATCTGGATAATTAAAATACATATTAAAATACTACTAGCTGTAGGCATCAAATGCAATAGAATCACTTTCCTGCATACCTGCAAAATCAGAATCATCATCAGACTCGGACTTATATGAAGAACTTGAATCGTGGTCCTCTCCAACAGAATCTTCAACGTGGTCCTCATTGTCATCATCGTCATACTTGTTTTCATCATCGTCATACTTGTGTTCATCATCATACTTGCGGTCATCAACATCAGAATCATATCCATGATACTCCTCTTCATGGGTATCAGATGGCACCTCATCATGGTTATCATGGTTACTATCTGTACCAGCCTCAACTGACTCAGTTTCCTGTTCACTCTTTTTTCCTAACCAACGAGAACCAATAACACGTCCTAACTCTTCCTTTGACAGTGACTCAATATTTTCAGCAGCATCTTTCTCCTAAAAACATAAAAATGAGTCACAAGAGTAAGGTTGTTAACATCATTGAACAAAATCTGCAACCATTATCCGCATGCCACCTTAGTAGTAGACAAGGCAGCAATACATGCGCACTGAAATTAGGTCCTTCCTAATGCACTATGATTTTGTACAAGCAATTACTCCAAAGCTAGGAAAATCAAATTATACAATCCTACTCCTGCTCCCCTCAATCCCAAATCTACTACTTAGTCAGGCCCTAAACTACTTTCAGTGCTATGTGTCCAGTAGTGACGAGTTCTGTAAGTTTTTAGCCCTTTGCACATGAAGTACCAACATATAACCACAATCAAGCATTATAGGAAAAAGGATCTCGTATAACCGCTACACCCCCTACACCCACACCCACCCCCGGGCAGGTTTCCACATTTTGTGCCCTGTTTCAAAGTAATGCACCTTTGGATAGTACTAAAACCTGTCTTTGTATAGTAGATATATAGTGGCTTGATCATCCGTCAACTATGTATTAGAGTGCATTTTCTGTTATTTCAATGATGAAATGTGGTTATTACATTCATTTCACTAATAATTGAACTTCAACTTTCCAGTTCCGAGTTATGCTCAAAGAAGGTCAAGTTACACATTTCAATTCTTTATGAGCATAAGATCTTCAATGCAAGTGGAAAGATATTTAGCTCAGTCAGAGTATCATGAGGAGGTTAAAACGGTATCCTTAGGAACCTTGACCTGAAGTAAAATTACTAGTGTACTTCTATAGTTTTTGTACGTTTAAAAAGAAAGATCTTGAGACCCAAGTTCCATCTAAGGGAAAGTTCTAGCCTCCCAACAAAAAGTAGAACCCTGCTGGGGGGTTGAAGTGGTTATACAAATTCTTTTTCCTGCTCATGCTTTCACAAACTGCTAAAAGTTTGTTTATGGTAGTACATTTTGCTATAGGTAATGGTAAAAGTACTGTTTTGCAACTAAGTGCAGTGTCCTCCCTGAGATAAGAATTTGAAAGATCTGACATGATAGATCTATTATTCCAACTTGACCGACACCAGCCATACTTCAGAATCCAGCCTCTTTGTGTATTGCTGGGAAATGGTATCTATCTACTCCATGTGATGGTACAAATGAAACAAGCATAAAAGAAAAGAGAATAGACCTCATTTCCATTTCCTCATTTTTTATGCATGTAATTCCTAACTCAGAGAATCAAAAGATTTTTTGCATGTAAGCAAGTTATTCAGGAATCCACACTAAAAGAATGGCCTCCACGCTGTGGCACCACAATTTCATTCAAATACCACCTTTTCCTAGTACTTCACCACATATTGGATATTAGCATATTAACTTACACTGCTTTAATTATAGCTCATTACTTTATTGACAAAAAATATACACTGTTTCTGGAGAAACTTATCAGGAGCAAGGATTTCATATTAGATTAAAAGAAATTAGGACAAACCAATTGAAATAATAAGTACGTAGCTCACAACATAGCCAAAAAGAGTGAAGATAGATATAGAGCAAGAGTGGTAGCATTAAATCAATAATTGTACCTCATTTCTACTACTAACATCAGCTTTATTGTTGTTGGTGGACGCCTCTTTTATTTCAGGATGCTATACAAAATGAGATTCTGGTTAATCATGATAAACCAAATACTTTTTACAGTATCATATGGGAAGGAACTTGGGATTCTCAAAGACAACAAACCTGGGAAGAATCCTCGGGCACCTGCTCTACCTCATCAACCGGAAACTCATCCTTCACGGAATGGTCACCATGTTGTTCTTCATCTGCAGCTTTGTCATGGCCTTCTACCACATCCTGATATAAATATATAACATAATTACTATATTAAGCAGCAAAAATGCATAAAGGAGACTTATTTTTTTTACCCAAATAAAAAAAATACAAGAGACTTTACAGCACTAACTTGTAGATAATATATAATGTTGGAATACGAACATTTAAAGTCAGTTCCATATTTTCTATAATGCTCAAGGGCATTATTCCCTCCAGAAGGGTGCTCAATGATATTCTCTTGGGAAGTGAAAATTTTTATTTCTAAACAAAAGCAGTACTCCTCCTGCAGCCAAATTCGCACATCTCGCAATGTGTTACAGAATTTTATCAACAACAATAACATACCTAGTGTAGTCCCATAAGTGGGGTCTAGGGAAAATTTTATCTGGGGAAAATTTGTAGCCCTCCTACTAATAAGCATTTCTGTGGAAGAATCAAGTAAGGCAGTAAGGGTACCAAGTTTTATACCCATGAAAATCATTACTTTCTAGAATCGTAAAGAGCTTCTGATATATTGGACATCTACAAAGTCTAAAAACAATGGTCAATTTAGCGTGCGACATAGATGTGGAGAATCAAATGCCCAAAAACATGTGAAGAGAAAAAATGAGTCAGCAGACCAGAACTCTTTCCCCAAGTTCCACTATCTACTTCTATAAGATATTCTGATATCCTTGCCTACTATAGTGTGTGCTTAACATCATCTATAAGGTAACAGCCATACAGATAAAAATAATGAACCTTTACGGGAGGAGAGTCTTCCAGGAGGCCAATCTTATCGTGGATGTCACTCTTCACAGCTTCTTCATGAACTTCAGTTTTCTCCTCAACTTTGCTTGCCTCAAGCTTAGCATCATCAGCTTCCTTTCGTTCCTTCTCTTCCTTTTCTCTCTTTAACCGTTCTTCCTCCTCAACCTTCTCTATTTGTTCTTTTTTGTCTAGATCAAGAAAAGTGAAAACTTATAAGAAATTATTAGAAGCAAATTGTTGGAACCTTGCTAGAAGAGAAATAGATATTAGTGCGTGAAAATCTCATAAACTACACAAACATTGGACTTTTCACACGTCACTTGTAGAAAATGAACAACAAGAAAAGTGACAAGGATAACAATAACTAGTCTAGAAGGTTGCTCTACTTGGCATAGGTGAAAATACCTTATTGAACATTATAACAGCCTTCTAGTTTCTACAAGGTCTCAGATCAGGTAACTTTTAGGTATCTACTCAGAATATTCCCTATAAATTAACAAGTAAGTTATGTATAACAAACAGTTTAAATCTTTTCTAAATAGTTCTCTATGGTCAAAATCAATCACAATACAATCTGAGTTCTATGAAGTGGAGTAGCCTTGTGGAGAGGTACTACTATATATACCAGAGTAAGTTCTTGGAAACAAATGGAGACGACCTATTGGGCTATGCATTTCCACCACATTTAGTATCTCTTCCCATCAAACGGAACCAGTTGTTAATTATACAGGAAGCAGAGAGCGTGAATTGTATAGGACCTCATATTCAGGAACATTGCAAGATTGCGGGATGGTACAATATCTTCCAGACTTGCTTGAGCTCTTATTCAGGGAAAAGATCTCAATGAAGGGCAGAGACTATTGAAAGAGGCTGGAAAGAGAAATGGTTTCTTCACAGTAAGATCGTCCTATTAGAGAGTTTGAGAAGGGGAGACAATGACATTCCTTATACTTTCTGTGGATTCATGAAGCACCAAAGAAGGAATGTTTCTTTGCTAGGCTGGCAGTACAACAACAACAAACCCATTATAGTCCCACAAGTGCTAGGATGGCAGTATGGAGGCAACTCTTTTAGTATGGATTCCTAAAAAACTTGTTGAAACTTGAACACAAACAAAAAAATGATTCTACAAGTTAAGAGTGCCAAGCATAAAAAAGAGGAAATGTAGGAAATGAGGTTCACTCTCTTTCCTACTTATGCTTGTTTCATTTGTACCTTGACATTAAAAAATTGATATCAGAACTCAGAAGGAACCATTTTGCAAGAGGTATGCAAAGCGACCCCATTCTGGAGTACTTGTTTTGTTATTAAATTAGGGATGATAATCCTCTCATGTACAATCTTACTTGAGGGGAAAAGAACTTACCCTGAAGCTGCTCAACCCTCCCTTTAAGTATCTTCTGCTCATTTTTCAGCTTAGAGACTTCAGTTTCCTCTTTTGCTATTGCAAGTTTAGCTTCTTCAATCTCCTTCTTCCTTATAATTATACCTTCCTGAAATGTTGCAATTTTTTTCTTCAATTTATCTCTAGCTACTCTGCCGACCTCCCAACATGTATTTGGGCACTTAACTTTACCATCATGCTCATCACTCCCATCGCAACAATCTGCTCATTTGTGCCATTAAGATAGTTACTAGTTTAGAAAAGTAAGCCAACAATATTAAGAAACATAAAATATACATCAATATGATTTTATCGGGAAAAAACTGTCAACGATAGTCCAAAGGCAATGAAAATCATTCTACAATGGCTATTTATCTTAAGAAGTAATATCCTTTTTTTTAAAACTTCATCTAAGAAGTAATATCCTATACTGACAATGAATTCTTCAAGAACTGAAACCTTATGAAACTTAGCTTGTCCTGGATTTGAATGATACGTGTTGTGCAAAAGATTTTGTTCTTTTCTTTTCTTTTTTGATAACCAGTTTTTTCTTTTAAAAAAAAAAGCACTTTCATATTAATGTCATTCAATGTCTTTTTAGTTATTGTTAGAATGCACTATTTCAGATCACACTAAGCACTGTGATGTAGAAAAAGATTCTAATCAAATGCTATACAGAAAGGCAAGAACGCAATGATTCATACCGCAAATGCCATCATTCACCCTAGATGAGTATATGAAGAGAGGAGCATGCCCTGCATTTTTGCAATAAAACTTCCCGCTGGGACATGCCGAAGTTCCTGCAAACCAATCACCAAGGACAAACAACTTTCAAACACATGCACATATTATATTTATATACAGAAAAGGAAGGCAAAAATGTTCGATCCAAAATGAAACTCTCAACATACTTTTGCCTATGTTGCACTGCAAATAAATCTTAATTTTCTAGAAGACTAGCTATTAGTATTTGAAAGAAATGAGACCAATAGAGCGTAATGTATATAGAGAATTCATATAGTCAAATCCAACTATGGTGTTGCGGACCTAAAATCAATGAAAATGTCCATTTTTAGATAAGGTGGTTCATACATTTCGGTTGGATTTCAGAGCATGTAGAGATCCTACTTTCTACTGGTTCAAGTCTCAGCACTACCACGAACAAAATATTTTTACATGTTTGGACTAATCAAAAATCAGGCTCCCGCATGCAGGGGCAGAGGTAGAAGCCCAGCTACAAGTTTAAAACCAGTCATTAGCACTTGAAGTAGTAGTTCTAAAATCCACAATCCATAAAGTTGAAATTCTGGCTCCATCTCTGCCCACATTATGGGAGCTTTACAAAGCTAAACTAAATAAATTGAAGTCTCTCTCTAGTTGTTACACAATTCAATATTTGAAATTGACACATAGTTCAGTGATTGCAATGCACCAACAACAACATACTCGGTATAATCGTAGGTCTAGGGAGGGTAAAGTGTACGCAAACCTTACCTCCACCTCCCAGAAATGCACCATAAATGCATAGTTTTGCAAAAAAACAATCGAGCAAGTAAGAATCTAGAGGACAATAGGGAAAATACACACAGACCTGGCTCATCAGACCCATCTGGACAGTCACAAAAATCATCATTGAGCTGAGCCTTGGTGAATTTCTTCGACCCATCTTTACAATTTATAGCACCAGATGATAAACCCTTGTAATAATTCTCATCTGCAATCAATTAAATGTTAACAAAATCACAAATGGGTCATCTGCACTTCCATCAAAACACCATAATTAACAATCATTTCTACAGAAAATTTCAAAATGACGAAATGGGTCATCTTCACTTCCATCAAAAAATCAAAATCATCATTATTTCCACCAAAAAAAACCCGAAATCACGAAATGGGTCATCAGCAATCCCGTCAAACATCAATATCCATCAATATTCTTAACGAAAAAAATTGAAATACAGAAATGGGTGTTCAACAAATGAATACGAACCTTCCGGGGCAATTCCGAGGTTGACTATGGAAGGAAGAGATACAGATCTATCGATTGAACATATGCAGAAGATACAAGAGAGTAAAAACACGAATTGAAATCGTAATTCCATTTTTTTCACCAAAATTCGCAACTGGAAAACTAAATCTAAATCAGCATTAGTTTTCAATACACAGCAAAAATTGTATGAATCGAACGAGATTTGCAGTGGCTAACTGATTGTATAGTGAGAAGAGTATGAAGTTTGGGCCAATGAAGAGTATTTCCTAGAGTTGGTAATGGAGCTCGGCAGCCATTGGTGGAGTACTTTAACGATGGCGTTTTAACACTCTTCTCACTAATTCTATTTTTTTTCTAATTTTTACCGTGGAGTAGTGGTAAAGTTATCTTAATGAGAATTATAAGTCACGGGTTCGAGCCGTAAACGTAATCACTAATTCTTATATTGTGGTAGGTTGTCTATATTCATTTCTGAAATTATCAAATCGAAAAATTATGTGTACTAGACTATCCTTTCGTTGAAGGCGAAATTATCAAATTGAAAAATTATGTGTACTAAAAGTCTAAACTATCCTTTCGTTGAAGGATATAAAGATGACGGTATATCGTTACATATCGTAATCGTATGTTATTGTTGTTTGTTGACTATCACCTCCCACGATTTTAATTATTACTAACCTCATATACAATAATTATGGTCATCAATTAGAATGAATTGAAGGAGGAATCATGATTCATGTGAAGTGAAAATCTTATGTACAATTATGTAAAGTGAAATAAAAATGACTTATCTGTTATTTATTTCACTTACTATCACCCAAAAAATTAAACTTCACTTTATATAGTGAAAAAAAATAAACTCTGCATTATATAATGCTTTCAAACTACAATTAAATTATAAATTTAAAATTACGACTTATATACTCGATATTATTAATTAAAGATGATTATTATAAGCCAGCATGATTCATGAAATATTCTTTTAGCAATAGGGCATGACAGAAGAAGAACTATAGAAATATAAGGAAATAATTTTTCTAATTATTATTACGTGTTTAAGTAATCTCATTTTTTTAATTGTGGAGTTGAAGGGAAAAAATTATTTTATAATCTTACAAATTTTTCAAGTCTTATTTCAAGTTTTCTCGATTTATCTATAGATCTTTCTTTTCTATATATTGAAAATAAGTAGTAATATCCATATCTATAATCCTAATAAAAGAACAAATTAAACTACACTAGAAAACCTGAACTAATAAATCTTAATTAAATAAATATAAGAAATTAAAAATCCTAAACAACTTAGAATTCTTATTGAATCCTTTTTTTTAACTTATAATATAAATTATAATTGAAATCACAAAAGGAATAGGACATAATTAATTTTCTTTCTTCCCAATCCTTGTTAGCATCGGATTTATCACATAATTGTTTATTAATATATGATATTACTTCTTATTTACCTCAACAATTAATTGCTCTCTTTCTTCTTCACAAATTAATTTAGAAAATAATTATCGATCATGGCAACTTATACTTTTGAACACAGACATAGACGATATTTAGAAGATGTAATTGAAAGTCAGGTATTACAATCTCTAATTAATTACCTCAATTTTCCAATTAGGTTTTCAACGTTTAATTAAAAATTTATAGAATTTTTTGGGTTAAATTTTATTACTTATAATAACTAAAAAAATTCGTCATTATGATTGTTTATCGTGTTGTTGTTGTTTTAAGATGTTTTTATTGAATGTTTAAGTATGAGAATGTTCGTTCATGTGTCGGAATTTTGACTATCTTGTTGTTTATTGTGTCTTTATAGTCTAACAATTTTCTTGAATATTGTTAAAGTATACGTAATGTTTTAACCTTCGTTATTGTTATTATTTGTTTTAGCCTAATTATATCTTGAATAATAAAGTACATCAAAAATCGTCGATTGTTTATGTGTTGTTACGATAGCTTGATGTTTTCTTGAATGTTCCAAGTATGGAGAACGTTCGTTCACACGTGATGCATCAGAATCTTGACTATCTTATTATTTGTTGTTTCTTTATATTCTTGCTATTATTTTAAGCTCTAGTGTAATGATTTTCTTGAATGTTAAATATACAAAATTATAATGTATCATAATTGATGTTAGCTTTCGTGTATTGTTTCGTTATTATTATTATCTCTTTTAGGATCTAACTATATCTTGAATATTATAACTATTTTTATATCAATTGTTCATCCATAATCACATACTGATTTATCACATAATTGTTTATTAAGATAGATATATGGTTCTTTGTTATAAATATTACTTCTTATTTACCTCACCAATTAATTGCTCTCTTTCTTCTTCACAAATTAATTTAGAAAATAATTATCGATCATGGCAACTTATACTTTTGAACATAGACATAGACAATATTTAGAAGATGTAATTGAAAGTCAGGTATTACTAATCTCTAATTAATTACCTCAATTTTCCAATTAGGTTTTCAACGTTTAATTAAATTTTATAGAATTTTTTGGGTTAAATTTTATTACTTATAATAACTAAAAAAATTAGTCATTATGATTGTTTATCGTGTTGTTGTTTTAAGATGTTTTTATTGAATGTTCAAGTATGGAGAATGTTCGTTCACGTGTCAGAATCTTGATTATCTTGTTGTTTATTGTGTCTTTATAGTCTAACAATTTTCTTGAATGTTGTTAAAGTATACGTAATGTTTTAACCTTCGTTATTGTTATTATTTGTTTTAGCCTAATTATATCTTGAATATTAAAGTACATAAAAAATCGTCGATTGTTTATGTGTTGTTACGATAGCTTGATGCTTTCTTGAATGTTCCAAGTATGGAGAACGTTCGTTCACACGTAATGCATCAGAATCTTGACTATCTTGTCATTTGTTGTGTCTTTATATCCTTGCTATTATTTTAATCTCTAGTGTAACGATTTTCTTGAGTGTTAAATATACAAAATTATAATGTATCATAATTGATGTTAGCTTTCGTGTATTGTTTCGTTATTATTATTATCTCTTTTAGGATCTAACTATATCTTGAATATTATAACTATTTTTATATCAATTGTTCATCCATAATCACATACTGACACGTTCATGTGATAGCATCATAATCTAAATCATATTTTTTTTTATTTCTTATTGTTATTGATGATTATGATTATATCTATTAAATACTAAATTTTCCTTTCTTTTTTTTTGTATGTAGGGTTTCTATGTGACGAACAATTATGGAAGGGAAATACCTTGTGGAATAGTAAAAATTGATGAAAAATCTGTAATTTTTGAAAAAGCAAAAAAAGCTGCTGTTTTTGCAGTTAATAAATACAATGAAAAAATGGAACATTCATCAAAATTAGGAATATTGAAAATTATAAATCTTAATTTTGAACCTACTGCTGGTGCAATTTATTACATGACTTTGTCAGTTTTGGAAATAAGTTCTGGAAATATTTTTCATTATCAAGCTAAAATATGGGAAAAAATCAACACTAGTTACAAAGTTGATATTTTTCAACTTGCTCCTTATGTGCCAAGAATCTCAGGTAATTAATAATATTTCAGCTTTTTTAAATATTTTTTTCGATTTTGTATTGCTCGTTATGTTTTTGTTATATTCTATTGTCTCTTGTACATCCATTACGTCTTTTTCTAGACTGTTTTTGTCTTGAGCCAAGAGTCTATCGGAAACAGCATGTCTACCTCACCTCTTAGGTAGTCTGGTACTTGATTTGGGGTCTGATTATTTTGAATTCACATCTCGAAATTTGAGGGATAAAGTGTTCTCTACTAATTAGCATAGGCAAATTTAAAATTTCTTCAACATGGATGCACCGCTTAAAAAAAACGTCAACATCCAACCATGTGCACCATTTAGTCTTCACATGCCCCATTTCTAAACCTATAGATTCGCTCCTATTACTAAGTCGATTATATTACATATTCATAGTTCGAATCGAGAGTTCTGATTATTACCTGAATTTTCTTTTATCTTACCATTATTAGTTTTTTGTATGTGCAGAATATCAGAATTTCTCTATTAAGGCTAATAATTTGCAAGACTGGATGGATGAGAATTATCTATATTACAAGTGTTGCTGCAGATATAAAAGGGTAATTTTTTTTAAAAAAAAAACCTAATTTAATTATTCATATTCATATATATTATTTTCAAACTTGCAAGTATAATAATTATCTTATTTTCTTAAATAATTAAAAAAAATTATTTTTATTTTTTTGCAGCTAGTTTCTGTAGTGGTGATTAGAGATGAAGAAAATGGAGAACCATTGGGCAATGGTTTTATTAATTTCAATAAAAAATCAGCAGCAATGGAATTTTTAGAAAGAAATAATGGAAAACAAATGCCAAATTCCAACCAAATTTATTCATTAGAGATTTGAGAAAAATTGAAGGATTTTGAGGATTTTTTATTTTATTTTAAAATAATTTATTATGCTTTTTATTAAAGGGTTATTTTTTATATAATATTAATCATTCATTAGTTTAATTAATGTAATATTTACACTTGGTTTATTAATATGGCAGTTAGATGGCTTTTAATTTCTTGAATTGTTTCCAATAATATCATGGTCTTTATTATTGATTTTGATTTCAAACAATTATAATAATCATATGGTATAGAAAAAAGTAAATTCAAGAATAAATTTTATAGTTAAATCGAAAATTTCATTCATAATCCAAATATCAATGGATTAGAATGAATTAGCAAAAAATTCAATTAACTACGACGGACAATCAAAGATATAAGCCTCATAAAGACCCGACTGAATCTACTTGAAAAGAGAATATGATTCATCTTCGTTGAGCAATGTCCTATTTTAATTTCTAGATAGAAGAATGACCAAAGTAGACTTGATTTGAACAAGTACATCTAACTTTTCGTCTTGATTCATAATCAAGAAAAGACGAAATCGATCTATTTAGTGATAAATTAGCAATGAAGTTTGTACTAATTATCACATAATTCTTTTGTTGTAATTATTATGAGTCTCGAATTGTGCACCAATATACATGTACACATATACGTAGCAATTTGAATAGAAGGGGAATTGAAATACTAAATTTGCATGAGAAAGTTTTACAATGTTTTATTTTTTTCATTTTTTTTTCACATTAATTAAAACCATAGCATAATAAGTACAAGAAATGATTAAATAGACAAAACACTTGCCCTTCTAAGTTGCATTGCGGCAAATTCTAGCAGTAGGATTTGAGACACAAACTTGAAAGTACTTCTTCTTAGCCTCCGGTGAGCCGCGCTTCGGCTCATCGTCTGCCAT